AGCCCCGGCGGGCGCCCCCGGGCCCCCGCGCGCGCCCCGGCCTCCGGGAGACTGGCGCATGCCACGGAGCGCCCCTCGGGCCGCCGCCGCTCCTGCCCGGGCCCCTGCTGCTGCTGCTGTCGCCTGCGCCTGCTGCCCCAACTCGGCGCCCGACTTCTTCATGGTGTGCGGAGGTCATGTTCGCTCCTTAGCCGGCAAACGACTTTTCTCCTCGCCTCCTCGCCCCGCATGTTCAGGACCAAACGATCTGCGCTCGTCCGGCGTCTCTGGAGGAGCCGTGCGCCCGGCGGCGAGGACGAGGAGGAGGGCGCGGGGGGAGGCGGAGGAGGAGGCGAGCTGCGGGGAGAAGGGGCGACGGACGGCCGGGCGCATGGGGCCGGTGGCGGCGGCGCGGGCAGGGCTGGCTGCTGCCTGGGCAAGGCGGTCAGAGGTGCCAAAGGTCACCACCATCCCCACCCCCCAGCCACGGGCGCCGGCGCGGCCGGGGGCGCCGAGGCGGATCTGAAGGCGCTCACGCACTCGGTGCTCAAGAAACTGAAGGAACGGCAGTTGGAGCTGCTGCTCCAGGCCGTGGAGTCCCGCGGCGGTACGCGCACCGCGTGCCTCCTGCTGCCCGGTCGCCTGGACTGCAGGCTGGGCCTGGGGGCGCCCGCCGGCTCGCAGCCCGCGCAGCCGCCCTCGTCCTACTCGCTCCCCCTCCTGCTGTGCAAAGTGTTCAGGTGGCCGGATCTCAGGCATTCCTCGGAAGTCAAGAGGCTGTGTTGCTGTGAATCTTACGGGAAGATCAACCCCGAGCTGGTGTGCTGCAACCCCCATCACCTTAGCCGACTCTGCGAACTAGGTAAGAAGTTATTCTGCGCCCACCCTCTTGCCTCCTCCCCCTGGCGCGCAAGTGGTAGAAGAACCCCCACTCTCCCGGGCTGTGTGTGTATGTGTGTGCAGCCGCCACCTCTCCGGGGGGGGGGGGGTGTACATCCCCTCCTGGGAAGAGCCTTTAGGGACAAAAGTAGAGAAAGGACAAGGGGAATCTGCAAGGGCATTCCCTGGGGGTTCCCTTCCAGTTTTTCCTCCTCTGTTGCCCCGAGGTGGGCTGTGGGCACAGCTTGTGCACGCACTCCACAGACACGCGGCTCAAAATTTAAATGCCTTCATTTCCACAGCAGCTAGGCGGTGCAGAGACAAGTGGGGGTCACGCCTCCCCTGCACCCGGAAAAGCACTGAGGTGTGTGGCCGCGTTGGATTCGGGCCAGGCCCGCCGAGGAAGGTTGGGAGAAGCGAGTTGTAGAGGCTGGAAAGTCTCTGCTCCTTTAGTAAATAAGGACAGTCAGGTCGGGATACTCCCCGGCCCGGCAGCTCTGGGGTCTTGGGGCAAAGAAGGTTAGGATGGGAGGCAGGACTGGATACCCGCTCTCAAGTCAGCCAGCCAGGATGGAAAAGAGCAAGCGATCAGAAGTTGGGTGTCCCCAACTTTTTCCTTTCTTTCAGTAAAGCACACAGTGGACTATAGGGTGGTCTGCCCCCGGCGCCTCTGTGCCTTTGCTGCCCTTTTATTGCGCCAGGGCCTGGGCTTCGCCTCTGAGACCCCAGCCTCCCCGTCTTTTTCCTCCCAGCCTCCTCTGTTGCTTCCCGTTTCTCCACGTCTCTGTGCACAGCGGGGGATGTCCCTCGGGCGCCCACAGATCCTCCCAAGTTCACCAGCGCACTTGGGGCGCGTCTCCCGGGTGGGCTGGGAACGGGGATCCCCGAGTTTCTGCGCGGGCGTGCAGCGGTGCGGCGGGAGGGGGGCGGGCGGGGTGAATTGCCCCCCGGGGGGGGGGGGGGGGGGCGGGGGCTTTGGCGCTCCCCGCCCCGTGAACTGTGAAGTGCGCGGCCCGAGCCGGTGGTTTCCAGCCGGGCCGGCGGAGCGCGGCGGCGGCGGCGGCGGCGGCGGCGGCTGCAGACGTGGAGGAGCTGAGCGCCGAGGCTGGCGCCAGGCGGCCTCTTTTGTTTATCTGACAGCTAAATATCAAGGCAATCACCGCCTCGCGGCCCTGCCTCCAACCCCCACAGCTAAGACAAACAGTTGGGCTAAAAGAATGTCTCTGTTATCATAAGTTTCTATCTCTCTTTCTCATGGCTCGGCCTTTATTTTCTCTTACTTTTTTAATTCCAGAGTCTCCCCCTCCTCCTTACTCCAGATACCCGATGGATTTTCTCAAACCAACTGGTGAGTAGATGATTTTAAAAATACCCTTCCTATCTCAAGTTAGAAATGGAGCCTCTAGAACGCGGATTTTTTTATGTCTAGGCAGCGGCTTTGGGGAGGCGCTGGGCTTGCCCCGAGGTGGTTCTGGGTTTCCTCTGTTGGAAATTTGATGGATTTTTCTGTTTTTGTTGTGGCTGGAGAGGGTGTGTGTGTGTGTGTGTGTGTGTGTGTGTGTGTGTGTGTAGATCTATCTATCTACTACGATTTTCTTTTTTGCAAAGATGTTTTTGTTCCTTTTTTGTGTATTTTCACTCTGTAACCAAATTGGCTCAGCTTTAACATGTGGAATTTGATCCACGAAGAAGTGTCTTGAGAGCCAAATAGGACAGGTTGATGGGAGAATTCGGAGAGTTTTGTGAGTGCCAGAAGAATCAGTGAGAAGAGTGGATAATTTGATGACCGAGGGAAGCCCGTTTCAAAGGTGCAGAGCAGGTCTTGGTTTGAAGTAAGAGCTGAGAAAATCTGAGAAGTAAAGGCAACAGCGTCCTGCTGGGTGTTCTGTGCTTCTGACACCTGCTAGTTAGCTCTGGCCCGCGTTTTCTCAGAATTCGAGCTCGGGACCATGCAGGTTTTTAGCATAACTCTGCCTGCCTGTTGCTTTGTCCCTAGATGGCCCAGGGCCAGAGCAAAAGCCCATTTGAGACTGGCACCAGCCCTGTTGCGGTTGTCTGTATTCAGCTTCTAGCTGGCAGTGCAGGGGCTCATCCTGTGGAGGTAACAGTGCCACGGGGCACAGGGGTCAGCAGAACGGGGCTTTGGGAGTGCCTCCAGGGATGGGCCCCACTGTCCCAGAGCGCCTTCTTAAAGCAGCGGGAGATGCCCTGGCTGAGGAGTACGGATTGTTAACCTCGGTCTTCAGGCCTGTATACTGATGCCTGAAAAATGCAACCCTTGTGACATCTTTCTTTTGCCAAGGTTCTGCGAGAAGGAGAAGTGAAGGGTTGGGCCCCATTTCTGTCTTGGAATTCACAAGTCCTTCCGCCTCATGAGTTTTGGCTGTTGGGCCTTTCCCCCCACTAATTAAAAGTTTTGCTGGGGCGTTGTCATAAATTAAATACTTTAATGAACGGTGTAACCAAAGCCCATGTTCTGCAGCCAGCCCCCCCGGGACTCCGCCGCTCCCTGAAGTCGGGAGGCGTTGCTGCCTGCCCGGTGCCTGTCTAATAAGTGGCCTGCAAAGCATGTGATATTTTGCTTTCGATTTACAAAACACCAGATAAATGGTCATTAATGAGGAGATAACCGGCTCTCTGTATTTGTAACAAACGTTAACTGAAATTCCCAAGCTCTGTTTTCTCAAAGAATGTAACTTGACTGGGCTTTTGGCATCAGGACCCAGAATTCTTTCATGAGGTTTGCTCTGTAAGGGGCCATCCCCGCCTGCCCCGTTTTTGTTTCTCCTTCTGTAGCCTTCCAATCTGGAGGGATTCCTTGCAAGAGAGAAAGACCAGTCACCTTGGCCCCAGGCGTAAAGATTGCTAGGGGTGAATAAATGCTCCCAGAAACCTCCTAAAACTGTAGAACAGAAGGGCCACAATTCTCCCGGGTTTCCTGCAGAGATTTCAGGATAAATCTGTTCGCAGGATTCAGGCGGTCCTTCTGCCAGGCCAGGACCTCATTTGCAGTGAGTGGAGTGATATATTTATTCATTAGCAAGTGTTGACATTAGGTAGCAAAATGTGTGTAAACAGAGAAGCCACAAAGACAGGAATGTGCCATTTCCAAGGGGGAGAAAAAGTTTTCCAGATCAGCCAATAGGAAGTGATTAACCTGCCAATCGGAAACTCAAACAGCTGGTTACTCACCCAAAACGTTTTGTTTAAAACCAAACAAGAAAGGGAATGAAAAAAGGCCCTGTCGTGGAAGGACGTGAGGTGGTACAGGCCATGCCCCTGTGGAAGGAACTGTCCCGACTTGCTGGAGGGCAGCCAGGTCTGGGAACCGTGGGGCTAGGGACAGGTCTGGGGCCGTTGAGGTCACACACACAGATGGGATGCTGCCCCCACTTTTCGTCTTCACCTTGTACATGGGAGGAGAGTACTTGGCTGAGAAATTCAGATCAGCTGCTTGCTTTCTTGAGTGTGTGAGCCCCAGGTTGAAGTTTTGGTCTGGGGTGACTAGGTGAGAACCAGGAGCCAGGTTTTATAATGGACAGCTGTTAAAATCTTAACTGGCTACACAACGAAGGGAATCCCTTCTGTGAAGTCTCCAGCTTGGGAAGAGGTGGTGGGAAGGGAACTGGGGAAGGGACCTGGGTGCTAGGCGGTCCCAAACCAGTAGGATCTTCCGGGAAGGGTTAGACATACCTGAACCAAAGGGCAAGGTGGCTGTGACTTGTGACTATCTGAAGTCAAGAAGGCTCCTTCCTCTCCCGCAAGGGATAGGAACATGCTATTCGAAAGTAGAACTTATGTTGTGGGGGGCGGGGGGGATGCTGAGGGGTTGCTATGTGGGCCCTGCTCCCTGTGTCCTCTGCATCTGATGGTGTGCAAGACTTCCCAGAATGGCTGGAGTTGAGGATGTTGCTGGGGACACTGTATTTGCTTAGGCCAGGGTCCCAGGTGACCAGCACCCATTTGGTAGATCAAGCCTCCAAAGGGTAGTTGAGAAGTCTGGGATCTAGGCCTGCTTTTACCTCTTAACTCACCATCTCCTAATTTTTCTGGGCCTCTGTAAATCTAGTTGATCAAAGAGTTAAGAGTTAGATGATTCATTCATTTGCTCATTTATTGGTTCGTTCATTCATTCTACAGGCCTAATGATGTGCCTGCCTGAAAATGTGGATGATTCCCATGCAGTGGATTGTGCTCTATCCAGGGTTCATGGGAGCTGTGGATTGGGGCAGAAGCTGGGACATTGAGCGTGTGGTTGGGGGAGTGGGGCTGGGGCTCCTTGGGGCCCCGGTGGCTCTTGGGAAGCTCAGAACTATGTTGACGAGAATATCTGAGCTCTCCTGGAACCATTCTCTTGGTGAGAGGAATAGAATCCCCAGCCCCTTCACCTTGTGCTCCTTGTACAGCTCATTCCTTGGCTGGTCCCCAGGCTTGCGTCTTCAAGGATTGTCTTTTTCTCCCAGAGAACCCAGCACTTACTGGGTGCTTGGTAATGTTTAATGGTGGATAAGAGCCAGGAATGGCCTAGAGCCTAGAGTGTGTGCATCCTGGGCGCTGGAGAGCTGGGGACACAGGCAGAGGCTGAGACACTGGCTTTGGACCTCTGTCTCTGGGTGAGGACTGGGGGTGTGGCCTCTTGGACCTTTACGAGCCCTGCAGTAGCTTGAGGAGGTCAGTCTGGATGCTGAGGCCGTCTGGGCCTAACTACCTGCAGGGAAGAGTGAGGACTTGGGCCCCTGGGGAGGGAGAGCTGTGGGATGGGCTGGATGAGCGCTCAACTCTTGCTCACGGCCCAGCTCACTGGGTGGCCCCCTGGGCTAGTCAGTGACGCCTCAGTTTACCAAGGTGCGGGTCCAACAGGTATACTTTAATACTTCACAGAGGTGGCGGGGAGGCCTAATTAATGTTTGTAAATCCCTCTTGAGATCAAAGGCTCTGCAGAAGGGCAGAGCACCATTTCATAAAAACGCTTGTGGTTGCCGGAGCTGGCTTACCTTTGATCTGAGACAGGCTGACACCTTGAATGTGGTCCCAGCTCTGCCCTGAGATGCCAGGCTCTTCCTTTGAAACCCACTTGGCCCCTGGGATTCAGCCAGCCAAAGCCGGAGGAAGGCAGGGGGCAGTGGCCGTGGATACGTCCTCCTGTTTAATGTGGGGGTGTCTTCCGCTTGTGGGTAGGTAAAACCTATCTCTCGAACATGGTGAAGGCCATCCAAGTAGTTTAAAAAGTGCAGGGTATACACCATTTAACAAGCAGCTTCCATTTTCTGCTCTCCTATTGTTTTCCATTTGATTAAGTGTCTCCTGTAGAACTGTATATTCCTGTTAGGAATTACCCTTTATCCTGATAAAATGAGATTACGCACACAGTCTTTTCTCTCTTGCTCTGCCTATGGCCCCCACTCCTCCCCTCTGCTCTCTCCCCCCCCCCCCCCACGCCCCTGTTGAGAATTCTTGAAAAGTTGTTCTTCCAGCCTGAGAGAGAATGCGGGAGACGGAAGGTTCTGGGATTAGAGAGAGAATCTCAGAGTTGGAGGGGTAGGCAGCAGAAATCCAGACGTGGTTTGGGGGCCCTGGGTAGGCCATGCTCAGTCCCGCCCCCCCCCCCCCCCTTTTATTGGGGAATGAAGGCTGCTGCTGGGCTACTAAATAAAGGATTCCAAATGGGCTTACTTGCCTCCGGGCTTCTCTTTCCATTGGCTTCCTGTTTGCCAGCGTGGCCAAGTGGTTCCAATGGGAAACTGGTAGAACACACCCCAGGTTCATCCTGCTGGTGACCTGGGGTGGTTGGGGGACGGGAATTGAACCATCTAACCCAGTGTGCTTGCAGTGGAGCCACGAAGCCCCTTTCCGGAGCCGGCCTCTCACTATGGCCCTCAGTTTGGCCTTGGCAGTGATGCATGATGAGCTTTCAGGGTCTTGTGTACTTTTGTTTCATGGGGCTAATTAGTTGTGTTTCGTGGGCATTAGGTTTTGGTTTAATTGCTCGGAGGGAGGTTGTGGAGTCTGTTTCTCAGCTAGAATTGTCATTAGCCTCGTTAGCGTTTAGGTCACCGTGCTAAGCACCTGAGGGTGACAGAAACATTGAAGAGAAGCTTATAGGCTGGTTAGGGCTTACAGGATCTGAAGGTAAAAGATGAGCAAAGTCGGCAGAAGGGAATTCCAAGTGCCGGATGCCAGAAAAATTTTATAGGAACCAAGGGCAAGGGAGCCTTGCAGGTCTGGGGCTGCCCGGGAAGGTTTCCAGAGAGGAGTTTGGACCAGGCCTAGAAGGAGGTAGAACGTTTCCCCTTCAGCTGGGAGCCTTGTTCTCGGTCCTGATGTGCCGGTGGCTTTATACAGATGTGCACATGATTCGTTGGGTTCTTTTTATTTTATTTTAATTCAAAAATGTTTTTCATATTTATTTATTTTGAGAGGGAGACAGAGCACCAGCAGGGAAGGGGCAGAGAGAGGGGGAGAGAGAGAGAGAGAGAGAGAGAGAGACAGACAGAGACAGACAGAGACAGACAGAGACAGAGAGAGAGAATCCCAAGCAGGCTCTGTCCTGACAGGGCAGAGCCCGACCCCGGGATCAATCCCATCAACCTCGAGATCACGACCTGAGCCGAGATCTAGTGCCGGACGCTTAACCAGCCGAGTCACCCAGGCGCCCACCATGGGGTTGTCCTTGAGATTTGTATGCCTCATTATACTTCTGATACATTAGTTAAAAGAGAAAAAAGTCCCTCAACCCAAGGGCAGTCTTGAGAAAGTCCTGAAGAACTGGGAAGTCTAACAAGATGAGGGAGACACTGGTCTATGGGAGTGGCAGAGAGGCCCCTGGATCTACAGGAAGGCTTCACCTTGGGGGTTGAGAGCAGAGCCCAGGCTTCCTTTGACCTTGGGAACTACCTGGTTTCCTCAATGGGGGACTTGCAATAAAAGAGAAATTCCAGCCAGTCTGCGATCGAGCCTGACTTGACTAATGATTAACTGGCTGCCCAGAGCCCAGACCGGTGACAAGGTGCTGTGGTCTGTCTTCTGATGGGCAGCGAAGCCTGAGCAGACCATTAATAATCAGCATCGCGGTGGGGAGTCAGCTGTTTGGAATGTGTGGTTTCTCTTTAATGCTGTTTAGAATGTGCTTAAAAATTAATCTTGGTGTTTTTATTTATTTGTTTGTGTATTTATTTCTCTCCTTTTCACATCCACAGCAGACTGTCCAGATGCTGTGCCTTCCTCCGCTGAAACAGGGGGAACGAATTATCTGGCCCCTGGGGGGCTTTCAGGTGAGACCTTTTCTCTTATTTCCCTGGCAGTTTCAAGACCTCTTGAAATGACTGGAGACGAGAGGAATCGGGGTGGCCTTCTGCCACCCCAGCTGGTCTGGAATTAATTCTCACTTTCATGTGCTTGAACTGGATGCATCCGTGGTGACTCTGGCCCTTGAGCTCGCCATTCTGCAGTCCCTTACACATCAGGACCCTGGGCCTGCTCTGTTGAGGAAGTGGGGGCCAGCTGGGGACTGGCATGATGCTGTGTTTCATGGTTATTGTTAAAGCAGCTACTGGCTCTGGGGGCTTCCGCTCGGTGACTTTGGCATTAGTTCATGGGTTTAAGCTAAAGCTCTTTCTTGCACTTGCCCTTAGTGCATGGAATGCCTTGAAAGGGGATCGATCCACCTTTTGGGAGCCCGTTGAAGACAGATCCCAGGCGTAGGGTGGGAGTTCAACGCAGATGTCCTTGATGCTTCTGTGCAGGTTTTAATTCCCAGTCTAGCTTTAGTGCAGGATTCTGTAGTGCGTATCCGGAGACGGGAGCCACAGGATGGAGGCACTGAGGACAGTAGAGACTTGGCAGTGCTACCCGGGAGGGAAGGTCTGGAATGCCAGTGCTGGAGGGTTATGGGAATGAGGGAGGTAGCCTGAGCATCACTGCCCCTGAGGGGCATGAGAAGAGAGTCATAAACTTGTAGGAGCTCATTAGCAACGTAAGTAGGAAGCATTTTCCTCTTTTTCAAAAGACATCCTATTTCTACCTGATTTTCCCACCCAGTGTGCCGTCTCTGGATTTTCCAAGAGCCAGCTAAAGCAAGAGGGAGAGTCACCCGGTTGGGGGGGGGGGTAGGGGTAGGGGAGAAATTCCAGGGTTCCGTGCATTTGTCGTTGCTTGCCTCTGGGACGTTGGCAGAGGAGCATGGCGGCTCAGATGGAACCGTCTTGGGGGGCTGCTGTGGTGTGCCCTCTTTTGTGAGGTGACCTCTTATTGGCTGGATGCTGCCTCTAAGGCCATGGTCATGCTCATCCTGGCCAGCCCCTCCCAGGCTCTCCTGTCCAGGAACGGAGCTTGCTGAGGACGCCTTTAGGAAGACCCTTGTTTGTTTTTATTTCAGGGCAATATATACTCTTGACTTATCTGCCGCAGAGGGTATTGTTTACACAAAGCTCCTAATGAGAAGTGGGCAGGAAGAAGAGGGACCCGGCGAGGGGCGGGGGCATCGTGTGTGGGGAGGGGCGGGGGGACCGCGGGCGGTGGAGGAGGGAGAACATGCTGGAACGGGTGAACTGCGTCTTTTCTGCTTTCTAAGGCTGAGAAAGTTCCTGAAAGAAAGAAGGCCAAGAAGAGGAGAGGGTCTGGGCAAAATAACACACTCAGGATGTTGTTCGATGGGTTTATTTTTTAAATCCTGAATGTGCAGGGAGGAGCCCCAGCCCTTTTGAACCACATGAAATAAGCAAGGGAAGTGGTAGCTTTTGGAAGGGGGCTTTTCGGAAGGGTTGTCTTATTGATAACATCTTGTCTGTCTTGTCTGCTGGAGGAAATGACGACACCAAGCCGAGCATCTCCTTCCTCGGCCCCGTGCAGCCCTATTTGAGTTAGGTGGGCTTTCTGTTCCCAAAGCCATTCCAGTCCTAGAAAGAAACCGGGACGGGGCGGGGGGGGGGGGGGGGGGGGAGAAAAACAATTATTAACTGCTCTCCCCGCCCCCCCAAGGTAATTGCAACCATTTAGATTACTGAGGCGCTGCTTGGGAGGAGGAGTGGTTGTCTCTGAAGGGATCGAATGGTTTAACAAAACTGCAAAAAAGAAAAAGACCAGGGGGCCTCCACATGAAAGAGCATTTGTTTTGAATTTTAGCTCTTAATTTACTAATTCCCAAGGCTTCAAAGTTTGAGCTCTTTCTTCTTTCCGTTCGGAGTTGGAACAGCTTATTAATAATGTGCTGTGGGGGGAAATTGAAGGAACTTGAGTTTTGGGTTGGCGCCCAGTGGTTTGGGGGGTGTCAGGGGAGGCGATGGGCCCAGAGAAACCCAGGAATACACCCTTTGTGGCGAGAGTGCCCCCGAAAAGATGGTTTAATGGCCCGGGTCCAGGACGAGGGTTTTGCAGATGGAGAGAGCCCAGACCTCGTCCTTCCCAAGTTGATCTTTCCATGGGGGGGGGGGCGGGGGTTGGCTTGGGTGTGTCCACCTTGGAGGGTGAGGCTGGTGGGGGCTGTGGAGACGTAGCCGAGTGGGACAGGGCTGCGTGGGGGAAGGGGTTAGCAGAGGCTGGAAGGTGGGAGTCTGCTTCAGGAAGGGGGGGGGGCACTGGGCATCAAGGTGGGGAGCGGTGAACGCGCCCAGAAGGATTTGCCCCCTCCTCCCCCTTGAAATAACCTCTCTGAGTGTCTCTTTCACAGGCCCTGTGTGCTGTTTTCCTTCCTGTCCTGCCCTGGCTGAGAGCGGGCTTAATGAATGGGGCTCAGTTTAGGGTGGGAGGAAGGTCGGGAGCGGGAGCCAGGGCTTGATTCTCTTGGCAAGGGAAGAAGGGAAAGAAAAAACAGCCAAATGTGAAAATGTGGTGCCTCGGAGGTGGGGGTGGGGGTGTGCTCAAAGGCATTCCCCTCCTGAACTGCCGGGGTGACTCCAAGGCTGGCCCTTCCCTCTCGTGCGAGGAAGGGGAGTGGGCGGGTGGGGAGCCCTGGGAGCAGGCCCGCTGGCTGCACTTGAAGTTCCAGCCTTGCAGCTTGGGTCTGGCCGGGGAGGCGACAGGCCCAGGCCTCCGGGACTTGCAGGGAAACATACCCCACCCCTGCAAGTTTCCTCAGTCTGGGAAAAACGGCACATTTTTAGAAGGCTGTGACTCGGTTCCAGGAGATTGTACTTTCATTTCTGACAGCCGGCTCTCTGAGACAGATGGATTGCTTGGTGCATGGTTTGGTGTGTGCGTGTGTGCGCACGCGTGTGCTGCAGACGTACAGATAGCCGATCCCGTGCACAGAACACACGAGCAGGCAGGTGCCCGCAGGCAGGCTGTGGGATGGGCCAAGGGGTAGGCGGACGGCAGGGTATGCACTCTGGGGGTCGGGGGCGGAGTGTTGGTGCATTGGGTCTGAACTGGGATCTGGCAGCGCTTAGTTAAGCTCTGGGCGGACAGTGCCTTTTCAAAAGCGTGCATCTCCAGAATAAGCCCTTGCTGCTGGAGTGTCTGTGTCCTGGCCCAGGAAGACCCACCTTTGGAGAGGTCTGCTGTTGAGGGGAAGCTTCTTCGTTTGGCTCAGTGGTGGTGGGAGCGGGAAGGATTTGCTCCCGGAGCTTTCACCGTCTCCCTGGTGATCAAAAGCATGTGCTAGAAGCCGCCATGTTTGCAGCCTCCATCTGGAGTCCCCGGTGGGGCTCTCTCGTTTAGCTCGTCTGCTGTCCTGGTTTGGGCAGGATGGAGGAGCACCGTCTCGCCTGCAGATTCTGGGTTGTTCAGCCGTAGACCCATCCTTCAGCCTCCTCCTGTATGTATTAATGTCTGGAGCTGGCTGGGCCTCCGCCGTCAGTGCTTCCTTGGGTTGGGACACGGATTGGAGGCCAACACTTTGTACTTCTTTAAACTTCGAGAGACGCCACCGTGGATTTCAAGGAAGGAGCTGGGAGGCAGTGGTGACATAGGTACTGACGTGTCTCGCGGGGCTTGTTGGGGGGAGTTGAGGGAGCCCCAACTCTTGGCTGCGTAGAGTCATGCTTATTGGAGAGACGCCGTCCCACCAGCCTAAGGGAGGCCAACTCCTTTGCAGGCTCTCCTTTGTTTAGCTTCTGGTTGCCACTTCTGGGTGATGGGAGGTCAGCGGCCACTCCTGGAACTTGTCTCTTCCTTCTCTTTGGTCCCTGCAGGCGTCTTGGATTGCCTCAGAGAGACAAGAGTCTTCAAAAATATCTATCTAATCAGAAAATGTGGTTCCGGCTCCGTCCAAGTAGTAAATTTAGGCTCAAAGCAAGGAGCTTAGGAAAGTTTGCTTCATCTTGTTCATCAGATACCTGTGAACAAGTCCTTATTGTCTGGCTTGGAGTGGCGATGGGACACTGGGAATTTGGGACCCGGGTGGCTGTTGCCGTGTTTTTGTGTCTCCTTCCTCTGCCTGGGAACGAGCAGCTTGTGGTTTTTGCTGAGGTCTCTAATGTTTGGGGGAGTCAGATGGACCAGCACATGTGACTGTGAGTGAGCTTCCATACCTGCCCACTCCCTTACACCCCAGATCCAGACAGTCTGGATCTCTAGGGACTCAGCCCATATCTCCCTAAATGCCAGTGTAATGACTCGGGCCTCTGTCGGCTCACCTGCTGCACACCTCCTCCCCAGTGAAGGACCGGTCCTGGACAGCAGCTCAGGTTTTTGCAATGCTTCAGGTCATGCTCCCGGCCCTGGATCAGGGCTCACTGATGAAACCCCCTTTGTCCTGGAAAGAATGAGGTAGTCAGGCAGGGGTTAAATGCAGGGAGACAGCATTTAGAGTCTCTGGAGCAAATCTGGGCTGCTCTCCTGCCCAGACTGGACGGGCTTCCGCCTCATGCATCCTGTCACTGAGGCAGAACAGGGCCTCCCAGCAAAGGGGCAGGGGCCAGGTAAGGGCCGGGTTCTGTCCGGAGTCGCTTCTAGGTAAAGTCCAGCACATTAAATCTCACCGTTCGCCTTTGACCTTCCCTTAGCCGGGCTGTAGCCTGGTGGCCTTCTAGACCTATAGGACCTCGCTGGCAAGCTCCGAGCCAGTAGGGCAGTGAACAAGGAAGACATGCCAAAGTCATGCTCAAGTTTGACTTCCTCTGCATCTTTATTGTTGCTGTTACTACACCAAAATATTGGTCCCGCCAGTGCTGTGATTGCCTTCGCCGCAGTGGCAACTTCAAAGCAGGTGCGAGCAACCCTGGCGAGAGAAAACAAGGCCCAGGGTGGGAGTGCCAGATAGATGTGCCTCCAACATCAGGAGACCCTGGGATCTTCTGAATCACAGTCCCCGCGGGTGGGGACCCAGGATCGGTAT